CAATAAATAATGACTTACCTTCAGACACTTTGGGCCGTCAATCTTCCCAGAGCTTCGGGGCCTCCGGGCATTGCCACTTATCGCGGCACCGGTAGGCCGAATATCCCTCAGCGCACCAGTGCAGCACACAGGAAGGGCGTCTTTAGGGTTTAGGGTTTAGGCTTTAGGGTTAGAAACAAGCCTCGACATTCTTCTGTCTGGAGTCTGGAGATATACGAGGCAAAATCTACACGTCTCACGTGTTGCCCTGCCCAAAGCATGGCTCAGCCACAGATGGGCCTTCAAACTCCCTGGCAAGGTTTCGCTGAATTTGGGGCCTGGGTTACGTCCTCACCTTCTCGGCATCGTAATCTGACCAGCAGGGCTTCAGGTATGGATGCGGTGCAAGTACAAGGTTGCCTGCATCCTTGACAAGTTGCGTGCTCTGCACTGTCCACCCAGTATCCAGCTTTTTGCAACGGAGGGCCGTTACCTCCTGCTGCTTCAGGCAGTGTCGACACTGTGACACTTAGATGCCGCCTACCCATGCATGCTGCGCAGCACTGCTAGGTTGAACATGTCTGATATGTAGTAGGAAATCAAGACTTGACCCAAGATGAAACGAGCTTAGGCTGGTACGGGCCACGAGGCACAAAACCCGTACTCACCAGGCTTCACAGTATATGTAGACATACCGCTCCTGCACTCTCGTATGCCATTGCTAGGTTGAGACAGCCATTGCCGTGGATCCACCCCACTGAAGACCGCGAAAGAAATGTGGCACAGCTTTAATGACAGCAACCCTTGAATCTCCCCAGGGTCCTGGACATACGAGTCCCTGAGGGCATGGAGTGCATTGCCCGCCCAAAGTGTCGTTGCCTGGACGGGCCGTTGGCCGTCGGGACGGCTCGTCCGAACCCGGCGGAGACGGAGTTAAAGGAGGGCAGCTGTGCTTTGGCGTGCCCCTACGAAGGACCCGTGCGGAAGGTGCTGTCGACCCTCAGTCAAGAATGAACAACTGAGCTGGAACCCTCGATTGTCTGTTGTCCAACAAGTCTAGCCTCGTGAGATGGGTTCATGTGCTGTTGGGGTGTTGCTAGATTCTGCAGCTCGAGAAAAGGCGCTTCATTGTGCCAAGGTCCGCCCTTGCTTGCACATGCAATCCGAACAGGACAACTATGTAGGGACAATCACGTGCTGCTCAAATGCCTCCTGAACCAGCGACAATGAACTCTCCAGGGAGGCAAATGCATAGACCGGGATCTGTCACACCCTGCTCGGTGGTCCCCTTCCCGCCATTGCACTGTACACAATGGCTGGATCCCTCCTCTTCGCTGTAGAAACCACGAGGACAAAGTGAACACCTCTCGGAGCCATTGTTGGGAGCCTCCTGGCCAGGATCACATGGACTGCAAACCAAAGACCCCGTCTTGCCGCGGCTGGAATATCCTGGCGGACACAATTCACAGCGCAGCGACGCGGGTGCTTCTTGAAATCTGCCGACTGCGCAAGCATCGCAGTTTGACTGCTCTTCAAGTGGCTGGAAAGTGCCCGGATCGCATGGTCGGCATGGGGCACCACCGCCCGCTGAAGCAGTGCCTGGTGCACAAGCTGTGCAAACGCCGGCAACGCCTGGCTGCCTGCCCGGAGGGCAGTCAATCTGGCGTAATGGAGGGGGAACAACTTCGAGAACCACAGGCGACAGGGCTGCGGGTTGACCATTGATGTCCACTTGAACCACTTGTGTGCCAGAACCTTGCGCCTCATACTCCAGAGTATACTCCTGCGTGTCCGTGTCCTCGATCGTGATGTTGCGAACATCCGTAGAAATCCATGACCCACCTATACTCGTGCGAATGCGCACACTGGTTACCAGTGGCGCGTTAATGGCGAGTCGACTTGCAGTCCCGATCTGATCCAATAGAACCCACCGGAGCTTCTGTCCAGCAAAGACCTGACCTTGGTGAACAGTTTACTACAATTCGTACACTACAGTCTATCACTACATCGACAAGGGACGGTGCCACAAAATGATTTCCTTCAGAAAACTGGCATACTAACTGATGGTCCATCGGCCGCACACGGACATGCGCTCGCAGCTGCTCGCAACAACAGTCTCGTTGTTCACCTTCGCCGGATCAATTGCGCTTTGCTTTAAGGTATTTCTTGCTCAGCTGGATGCTAGGCACCACAACTTGAGGGAGATAGGGCGGAAGCGGAGGGAAGGGGAGAGGGGAGAGGGAGAAGGAGAAGGAAGTGAAGAGACGGCGAAAGGAAAGGAAAGGGAAGGGGAGGGAGGGGCGAGGGAAGGCGGACGAGAGGAGAGGGAAGGGAAGTCATACGGAAAGACAGGGATGGAGAGACGAATGCCACTTGCGGTCATTCGTGCTCAAAGCTTTGACCCAATCCACACGGGGATGCCTGACCAACGTCGACGTTACCCATCCAGGCTGTGCTCGACAACGAAGCTTTCAACACCTGAAGAAGCACAGCTTTGTCTGAGCCAGGGTAGATACTCGTGTCAGCGAAATCGCCTCCTTTTGTCTTATCACAGCTTTTCGACGGATGCTCTCCTGTTCTCCGTGCAGCAACTGCGGTAATGCACCAATCGCCGCTTGTATGTTTTCTCGCACCAAATAACCCGACTATGACGGGGTTACGGTTACGGTTCCACTATCACGGTGACCACGACGACCGCAACCAGCGCCGGAGCGATAGCTACGACCAAGACTTGCAGCAGCTCGTGCAAACAGAAAAACTAGTGGTTCGTCGTCGTGTGGCGGTAATTTCAGTAGTAGTGGTAGTGGTAGTGGGTAG